GCAAAGAGCCTGCCATGGGGCTCAGTCACAGGACCCTGGGATCATGGCCTGAGCCAAAGGCAGACGCTTAACTGACTGACTACCCAGGCGCCCCAGTCAGACGCTTAACCAACAGCCATTCAGGTGCCCCAGTTGTCTGACTCTTGTTCTCAGCTTAGGCCTTGATCTCAGGGTCATGAGTTCAATCCCCCGTTAGGCTCCATGCTAGGCATAGAGCCTACTTAAAAAAAAAAAAGTCCATAGCAACAAACAAATAGATGATCAACAAAAAGTTGCACTCAAAACAATACAAGTAGGGACGCCTGGGTGGCTAAATTGGTTGGGTGGCTAAGTTGGTTGTTGGGTGGCTGACTTCGGCTCAGGTCATGATCCCGAGGTCCTGGGATCGAGTTCCACATCGGGCTCCTTGCTTGGCCTGCTTCTCTCTCCACTTCCGCCTGCCACTCTGCCTGCTTGTGCACTCGCTCTTTCTGACAAATAAGTAAATAAAATCTTTAAAAAAAAAAAATACAAGTATAGTAGAATTGTTAATTATGTACATTTCCTTTTGCCTTTAGTCTTACAGACTATTTCCAAATGACTGCTATTAGTCATCTGAAATTATATAGCTTAGGATGGATTTATATATTTCTGAAATAATCAGTAACTTTTTTTTTTTTTTAAGATTTTATTGATTTGACAGACAGAGATCACAAATAGGCAGAGAGGCAGGCAGAGAGAGGGAGAGGAGGAAGCAGGCTCCCCGCTGAGCAGAGAGCCCGATGTGGGGCTCGATCCCAGGACCCTGGAATCATGACCTGAGCTGAAGGCAGAGGCTTAACCCACTGAGCCACCCAGGCGCCCCAATCAGTAACTTTTTTAAAATGACTTTCTACCCTTTTTTTTTTAAAAGATTTATTTATTTATTTATTTGACAGACAGATCACAAGTAGGCAGAGAGGCAGGCAGAGAGAGAGGAAGGGAAGCAGGCTCCTCGCCAAGCAGAGAGCCCAATGCGATGCTCGATCCTAGGATCCTGGGATCATGACCTGAGCTGAAGGCAGAGGCTTTAACCCACTGAGTCACCCAGGTCCCCGCTACCTTTTTTTTTTTTTTTTAAGTTTTTTTTTTTTTTTTTTTAAATTTATTTGTCAGAGTGAGAACACAAGCAGGGGCAGTGGCAGGCAGAGGGAGAAGAAGCAGACTTCCCACTGAGCAAGGAGCCTGACACAGAAATTGATCCCAGGACCCTGGGATCATGACCTGAGCCAAAGGCAGACACTTAATCAACTGAGCCATGCTGGTGTCCCATTAATTTTTTATTGCAATAGAAATAATAATAGAGGGACGCCTGGGTGGCTCAGTTGGTTGAGTGGCTGCCTTCGGCTCAGGTCATGATCCCAGAGTCCTGGGATCGAGTCCCACATCTGGCTCCTTGCTCAGCAGGGAGCCTGCTTCTCCCTCTGCCTCTGCCTGCCACTCTATCTGCCTGTGCTCACTCTCGCTCTCTCTCTCTCTCTGACAAATAAATAAAATCTTAAAAAAAAAAAAGAAATAATAATAGAAATAAATAAATAAAATACTGTGAGTATTTGTTCTTAAGGGGAGTGGGAGTAGAAGAGAAGGGGAGGAACTCTGCTATTTATTTTATTTAGTTCTCACAATTATTTTGTAAGGTGATACTGTCATGAGTTTTTAGAGGAGAAAATGAAGAAGTTGCACATGAAGGAATGGAATGGAGCGGAGATTCAAGGTCTGCCAGTCTCCAGAGCCCATCCCCCGCTTTCTATTTTTGTGGCTCACCATGTCACTTAAAATGTAGTTAAGGGGGACGCCTGGGTGGCTCAGTTGGTTAGGCAGCTGCCTTCGGCTCAGGTCATGATCCCAGCGTCCTGGGATCGAGTCCCGCATCGGGCTCCTTGCTCGGCAGGGAGCCTGCTTCTCCCTCTGCCTCTGCCTGTCACTCTGTCTGCCTGTGCTCGCTCTCTCTCTCTCTGACAAATAAATAAACAAAATCTTAAAAAAAAAAAAAAATGTAGTTAAGGGAATGAGGCAGGAATATTTAAAGTCAAATAACAAGAGTAAGGCAAATACAGGATTACTTGCAAAGTAAGTGTTTGGAATATAATCCTGGGGCAACTGATTTCACCTTCTTTGTGTCTTTTTATCTTTTTTTAAATCTTCTTTCACCATTTATTTTTGAAATTTTTATTAAAAAACTTTCCCCCGTGGTTTTTTGTTTGTTTGTTTTTAGATTTTATTTATTTATTTATTTATTTGACAGAGAGAGAGGGAGAGAGAGAGAGAGCGGAGAGAGGGAACACAAGCAGGGGGAGCTGGAGAGGGAGAAGCAGGTCCCCCACTGAGCAGGGAGCCCAATGCAGGGCTCGATCCCAGGACGCTGGGATCATGACCTGAGCCGAAGGCAGCAGCTTACTGACTGAGACACCCAGGTGCCCCTCCCACAGTTTATTTTTAAATAGCACTGGAAAGCCTTTTATTTTTTACTTTTCAGTAGCCTTATTTTTCTTAGCATTGCTTCTTTTTTCCTTCTAAGCCTATGTGTCAATTATGCTAATGTTGCTACCATTTGTGTCTTTCAGGAAGTGAGTGCTTTTGGTGAGGAAGGTGAAGGCGATTATCTAGATGACTGGACGGTGCTCTGTAACGGGCCCTACTGGGTGAGGGATGGTGAGGTGCGGTTCAAGCATTCTTCCACTGAAGTTCTGCTGTCTGTCACGGGAGAACAATATGGCCGACCCATTAGTGGGCAAAAGGAGGTACATGGCATGGCCCAGCCGAGCCAGAATAACTACTGGAAAACCATGGAAGGCATCTTCATGAAACCCAGTGAGTTGTTAAAGGCAGAAGCTCATCATGCAGAGCTATGAGTCTGGAAGCTGTGAGCCAGTGTCACCACACAGTGTTCATGACATCTGTTGCTGCTCCACCCTGGGATCCCTGCCCCAGGTTCCCTGGGCAGTGGCCATGTCACCACTGAGATGAAGATGCATGACAGAAAACAGTGGCTGTGTTTGGAAGCTTCAGCCCTTCAACTTGAATTGGTTGTTCTCCCAGACTCTGGGTCAGTTCTTTTTGAGTAGAGGACTTGCTGGTGAAGGAGCAGATATTTTTATTAATATTGATAAAACAGAAACTGAGGGAGATAGCCCTCCTAGTTGGGAAATTGTTACTCATCAGAATCTTGGGATCGTGGATTATTGATGTGTGACTTTTCTCCTATTTTCTTTCTCCAAAATGATAAAGAATTTCATTATTAGTCACCAGTGTTGTCCTTTATTAGGTGTGCTGTTTCATAATCTGATTGATCCTTGAGTCTGACACATGTCACTGCTATCACTCTAGAGATGTTGGGAGCCTTTGGTGTAGGCCCTTTTAAGAGCCTTACTTGCATCCAAACTTTCTATTTTCACTTCTCTCCTAGCACGTCTTTTACTAGATTTTTAATTATGGCTGAAGACCCTCAAGGAATTCAGCTTAATAAATAGTGAAATGTTTTACTCTGGATGTGTTAACTGCAGTTGAGAAGAAAAAGAAAAACTAATATTCGCTGTCTGCTAAATACTAGATACTGTATTATAGCTCTTACTTCCTTAATCTTCATAGATCACCTCCTTTAATCTTCATAGATCTAGGGTAGGTATTACAGTATTACCAATGCAGAACATGAAGGTTGAATAACTGCCTTACTTAAGTGCTTAAATTGCCCTTGAGTAAGTAACCTAAAGCTAGTAAATAAGGATAGGAATCCAACTGTGTCTGGCTCACATTCTTTTTACTACAGTATAGTTATGTTCACTCTTGGATAATAATTGCTCTTTTATGGATAAATGTAGGGATAGCTTTCTCTGAAAGGGGGGGTAGAAAACTTTTGTCCTATGCTTACCTCATTTCTTCCTTTCTGTCTGCTGGTCAGTTCCAGAAAGTTTGCTCCTAGGTCTTTTGAGCATGGTAGTGGTGAACAGAAGTGTCTTCTATATGCTGGAATTTCAGTGACTAGCAGGCCTTTTATTTTTAGAAACAATTGTTCCCCCGTCCTTTCCTTTACGGACTTAAGGTTAAACATTTGGGCATAATGGGTCTGTGCCAGGTTTAGCCCATGACATTAAGAGGCTTGGTCTCTGTCACAAGGACTTGTTTCAGTACGTTGAGACCGTGAACTAGTTGAACTCCATCTCCATTCTCTCCCCTCTTCCCACTTCAGTTGCATTGATCATTTGAGATCTCCAGAAGTAGACAAACGATAAAATCAACATTTCAGGTTATTGTGATACTGGGAGTATGCTGGAAATAGTCTGGGGAGAAAGAAGAAAGGAGTGATAGGAATCAGCTGGGTAAAGGGAACATATTGTACAAGATGGAAATGAATAGAGAGGTATGTTGCAAGATACCCCCAATTTGGCTTGAACAGAGTTTTCACTGAGTTGCTGGGCCTTCCCTGAGGGTTCACAGACAGAACCTACCTTGCTAAGAGGCTGCAGATTATAATGCTTGAGAGATAAGTATGAATTTGAAACAAATGGTGGAGTCTTTGGGGAGGTGTGAAATGATTGACAAGAGGACTAGATAAGGAAACCAGTTGGAGGGGTAAAAACTGTGGGTAACCCAATGTGAAAATTGAAATGTTCGTTTTCTGAAGGAGTGGAAAAGAGTTTCCAAGTAAAATCTTGAAGAACATTTATGGAGATTGGGATGTAAGAGTAAAGGGATATGAACTACTTATTTTGAAATCCTCAGAACTTGTTTTAGCTTGTATTGTATTAGCATCACTGTATCAGAGTTGGAAGGGATCTTTGTCCAGTTTCCTCATTTCACAGAGATGGACACAGGCAAAATAAAGCTGATCCTGAATTATCTATTTCTTGCAATTATGTTTGCTTCCAAAATAAACTATTTATTGAGCAGTAAGAACAATATTCTCTATTTCTGTCATATCCCCTCAGCTCAGTGCCCAAATTGTGCTATACACGGTAGAGACTGAAAACTTGTCCAGCGAAGGGTCCAGAAAATTGCGTTTCTCACACAGTAGGTCAGTACATACTGACTAGAACAGTATTCAAACAGTAACATGAATGGAACAACTCATTCCTCTGTGGCTGGAATGAGGTGTGAATGTCAACTGATGTCTTTTAGTTCTTGGTTTCCTCAGTGATTCTCAGATAAGGCTCTTGAGTAAGATAGGACAGTTACTCCGTGTGACCTAGGGGCATAACTTCCGCCGTACCCTCAGTTCGGACCCGAAGTGGTAAAGCGGACTCTCTAACCATCCTGGGAAAGTGCTTTGAAAGTGAAGTCTGCCATGAAAATGAGACAGTCAAATCTGTTGCCAGCCAGGGACGGGCTCAGACTCCGGTCTCCTGCAAGGCTCAGGCTCCCCATTTCCGGGTGCGGAAGGGTGGGTCAGGGGCGGGGCATGAGTGTCAGTCGGCGCGAGGTCCGCCCCCTACCCCTTGGTGCGCCCCGGCTCCTTTGGAGCCACGCCCGTACTTCGCGCAGGCAGCCGGTCGGCCCTGCCGGCTCGCTGGCGCGGGGAGGAGTGGGGCAGGGAGACAGCTGGCTGGCTGGCTGGCGGGCTGTGGCGGGCGGGGTGCACGCGCGCCAACGCTTCCCAGTCCAGCGCTTTTCCTGCGCGTGCGGCTGGTCGGCCCGCGGCGGCGCAGAGCGGAGCCGGCGTGGGGGTGCCCCCGGCAAGGCGGGGGCCGGAGCCAGGCCGGGCCGGGGCCGGAATGCCCCTGTTCTTCTCCGCGCTGTTGGCCTTGCTGTTGGTTGCCCTCAGCGCCCTCTTCTTAGGCCGGTGAGAGGATCCCGGCTACAGCGGGTGGGGGCTGGGGAAGGAAGAGAGACTGAGGAGGGGGCGCGCGCTGGAAAGGCGCGCGGGGCCGGGCGGGGAGGGGAAGCGGGCTGGAGGAAAAGGTGCGCGGGCGGCGGAGGGGGAGGGCCTGAGTAGGGCCGCGAGGGGCGCGCGCGGCGGGCTTGAGCGGGGGCGTGCGGCCCGAGCTAGCACCGAGAAACTGGGAGTAGGGGACACTGAGGGACCGGGCGAGGCCTGAGGGGATGCTGGGGCTGGGAGCTGAATAGGTGTGTGTGTGTGTGTGTGTGTGTGTGAGTGAGAGAGAGAGAGAGAGAGAGAGAGAGAGAGAGAGAAGGGAGCCCGGCCTCGTGGCCTCCATTCGCCGCTGATGGCCCCTTAACTGAGAGCAGAGGGCACCTGCAGCCTCGCCCTAGGAGACGGAACAGGTCTGGCTGCCCAGGGAAGAGCGGCATTTGAGCCGGCCGGGTGTGACCCCACGGTGCCTTCTCGCTGACACCTGTCTGGAGGGCGGAGACAGAGACCCCGTGGGGGTAGTGTGTGATGACACATCTGACACGGCTGCCTATATTTCGACTCCCCGTCGGGCCTCTTCCTTCTTCATCTGGGGTTCCTAAGGATTGGAAAGATTGCTTTCTTTGTCCCCAGTTTAGGAGGTGGACTGTAGTTTGTCTGATTTCATTTGGGTGAAGGGGACCCTCCAGGGCTAGGGTTTTGATCTTTGTGGCCGAGTGTACGTGACAGAGTGTTGTTTTGGGAGACCGGAGAGTTGCCCAGAAGATCCAGCTTTAGGACATGACCTTTTTGCAAGGCCTTCTAGGACCAGGAAGGGGTGAGGAAAGCCAAAATTGGGAGATGGTCCTGGGAACTCACAGGGATTTTTCTGCAGGTGGTTTGTGGTCCGGTTGGCCACCAAGTGGTGTCAGCGGAAGCTGCAGGCGGAGCTAAAGATTGGCTCCTTTTTTTGGATCCAGAATGTCAGCCTTAAGTTTCAGCAACACCAGCAAACAGTGGTGAGTCTTGGGGAACTCCCTGGGTGTGTGTGGGGTGGACTCAGCTAAATTTTAATTATTTCTTTTTTTTTTTCTCTAAAATCCTGGGTGGCTTTCCTAGTTAGCCCAGCCTTGTCACTTCTTTGCCAAGATGGTTTTAGAGTTTGGAAGCACTGGGATTGATGCAAGTTGTTGAGTTAAAAATGCTTATAAGGCACAGAGTGTTCAGGGTACAATAAGAAAGATACAGAACTAAGCACAGAGAAAAGATAACAGGAAATAGAAGCACTTACTGTTCTAATTTAAGAGGAGAAATAGTAACATGTCCATAAAAGAGAAATACTGAGCAAGTTCAACTAGTGTCATTGTGAGGAGCAGGATATAGTGCTGAGGAGAGAAGTTGGTGGAAATGGAGTGGAGAATATTTAGTGGAAGGGCTATAGGACTTCCTCCTCCTCTTAGAAAATTTCCTGGCTGTCAAGCTGCTCATGGCTTACCTTGCAGCTAGTGTACAAAGCTATTTTCCACACTGTTTTAGGAAATTGATAGCCTGTGGATTTCCAGCAAACTCCTTAGCCATGATCTGCCGTGAGTACCCTATATCCTCACTCTTCCCTTGGGGAATATTTTGGGATTGGGGTTTGCAGACTGACATTCTGCAGGGGCCTCACAGCTCAAGGAGGGGGCTGGGGTTTTGCTGATGTCTCCTGGTTAGCCTGGAGGCTATTATTTTGTGAGACAGATATTGATAACTGCTATGAGGCTGTTCTCCATGATTTGAGCTACATTTTTAGGGAGGATTGGAGAGTGAATATTGGGGAGGGGAGAAGACTGCCATAAAGGGCTGTACCTGATGGCAGTGAGATCTCTCTTCTGGGCAGACGCTATGTGGCATTGTGCTTTGGAGAAGTGCGTATCAGAACGGACCTACAGAAGGTTTCTGGCCTGTTTGCCCCATTTTCCCAGAGCACTGGGGTGCATCAGAAGGAACTGTCCTTCAGTCCATCCTTACTGAAGATCTTCTGTCAGGTGAGATTCTTTTCCCAGTTTCTCGGACTGTAGTAGGGATAGCTGGCTGTAGAGTGATGGGTGAATTTTTCTGCTGTTTTGGGAATATAGTACCAAGAGCTGCCCCTTATTCTTTCTCTACTGGAAGGGAAAGGCAGTGCCTTGGTGCTAATGCTTATTCTTTGCTGCTTCTTTCTAGCTCTTCTCCATTCATGTAGAGTCTATAAACATCATGGTTCTCAAGGTGGCTACTTCTGAGTCTTTGTGGCACATTCAGATCAGAGGAAGCAGCTTTCTTTTGGATAGTGATGGGAAAAGGTAACCACTGGGTGAAAGAAGATCTGGTAGTCCCATTCTTGCCTTATAGTTTCCACATGGCTGGATGTCTGGGTTTTATAAAGGTGTCAAGTTCTCATTCTATAACAATTTGAGGAGAGGTTAAAGTTAGTTACTTTTCTTTGCCTTGTTCCATTTAGCCAGTAAAGCTTGACTGAAGTTAAGTGGTGAGAAAGGGGCCGAGTGCTCTTAATTTTTTTCCTTTCCCAGGCTGAAATGTGAGGTGAGCCTAAATCAGATCAACAGCAAAGTTCTTAAGAGTGGCCAGTTGGTGAGTATGCCATGGTCATTTAGATGCCTTGTTTCCTTCTGGGCGTAGGATATGAAGGAGCCTACATTCTAGGTTCTGTGTTCTTTATTTTAATAAGTTTTTTTTTTTTTTTTTTTTTAGATTTTATTTATTTATTTGACAGAGATCACAAGTAGGCAGAGAGGCAGGCAGAGAGAGAGGGAGGGGGAAGCAGGCTCCCTGCCGAGCAGAGAGCCTGATGCGGGGCTTGATCCCAGGTCCCTGGGCTCATGACCTGAGCTGAAGGCAGAGGCTTTAACCCACTGAGCCACCCAGGCGCCCCTAGGTTCTGTGTTCTTAGGGGGAGTTCTCTCAAGGTGGTGTTCTAGATCACTGCATTTGGACCCAAAACTTCCTGACTCCCTACATCTTAACACCTTAGAGGCTTATCCTCCCTACAGGAGGACACCTGCCTAGCGGAGCTCTCACTGGCCCTAAAGCTGTGTCTAGAGGTGGGCATCAGCAGTCGGCAACTGAAGGCGATCACTGTGGATATGTGGACACTCCATGCTGAACTGCATGAGGGCCTTTTTCATAGTCAGCTGCTACGCCAGGGCCCAAGCCTGGCACCCAAACCTGTTCCTTGTTCAGGTAAAGCCCTGGTCAGTTAGCTTCTTGGGTGTGCTGTTCTCTTATTTTTTGGAATTATGTAAAAACAGTGGTCTCACTACTCGTTAGGTGTGCTTTGTTATTCAGCATGACTTTTGACACTGAGGATAGCTAAAGGAGATAGGGTATTTACTTGTGAGTGAAAGAACTAACATTTAGTGGGTAATTATTAAAAATTAGACTTGTACGAGTTTTTTGTATTGTCTCCCTAAATTCTCAGCATTTCACAAATGAGGAAACTGAAGCAAGAAAACCAGATAGGTGACTTGACTGAGGTCATAGAGCTAGTCAGTAGTAAAAATGCAGTATAAGTTATTTTGCCCCAAAGCCCATATTCTTTTTTTTTTTTTTTTTAAGATTTTATTTATTTATTTGACGAGATCACAAGTAGGCAGAGAGGAGTCAGAGAGAGGTGGGGGGAAGCAGGCTGCCTGCTGAGCAGAGAGCCCGATGGGGAGCTCGATCTCGATCCCAGGACTCTGGGATCATGACCTGAGCTGATGGCAGAGGCTTAACCCACTGAGCCACCCAGGTGCCCCTAAAGTCCATATTCTTTACATTGTATCAGCCTGCTCCCCGTACTGTTTTTCTAAACTCCAGGGAAGGAAGTTCAGTAGGTACCTAAATCTCTGGGATATTTGCCTTGTGGCCTAGGATTGGACATTTGGTTACTCTACTTATGTGGGAAGATTTGGCCAAAGAGGACAGGGCATTTTGTGAGACTTGAGTATGCGAAGGATTGATGGCTCTTGTGTTATTCATTCATGTTTTCAGAGGTGACAGAGAACTTGGCTGAGCCAGCTCTGCCTGGCC